GTCCCAGGTGTGTCCCAGCTGTCCCAGGTGTGTCCCCAGGTGTGTCCCAGGTGTGTCCCAGGTGTGTCCCAGGTGCCCCCAGGTGTGCCCAGGTGTGTCCCCCCCGTCCCCAGGTGTGTCTGTGGATGTCTCCCGCTGTCCCCAGGTGTGTCCCCCTCACCTGTGCGTCCGCCATGTCCCAGGTGTCGTCGCAGACCGAGCCCCACCTGCGCTTGTGCAGCACCTCCACCCTGCCCGCGCAGCGCGACGAGCCGTTCACCAGCCGCACCTGCCGAGAGGGGACGGGACACACCTGGGATACCTGGGGACACCTGGGACACACCTGGGACAGCTGGGACACACCTGGGGACACCTGGGACACCTGGGACAGCTGGGACACACCTGGGGACACACCTGGGCACACCTGGGACACACCTGGGACAGCTGGGACACACCTGGAACACCTGGGGACACCTGGGACAGCTGGGGATACACCAGGGGATACCTGGGGATACACCTGGGGACACACCTGGGGTACACCTGGGACACACCTGGGACAGCTGGGGACACCTGGGGACACCTGGGACACCTGGGACACACCTGGGACACACCTGGGACACACCTGGGACAGCTGGGGACACCTGGGGACACCTGGGACACCTGGGACACACCTGGGACACACCTGGGACACACCTGGGACAGCTGGGACACACCTGGGGACACCTGGGGATACCTGGGGATACCTGGGGACAGCTGGGACACACCTGGGGATACACCTGGGACAGCTGGGGGTACCTGGGGACAGCTGAAACACCTGGGGCACATGAAGATACCTGGGGACACCTGGGGACAGCTGGGGACAGCTGGGGACACACCTGGGCACACCTGAAACACCTGGAGATACCTGGGGATAGCCGAGGACACACCTGCAGGCAGGGGGCACCTGCGGCAGATGGGGACACCTGGGGACACTCAATGACACACCTGGGCACACCTGGGGGCACCTGGGGGCACTTATGGACATTTGGGAACACCTGAGGTCACCTGGGGGCGCCTGGGTGCATCCGGGCACACCTGAGTGCACCTGGGCACACCTGAGGCCTTACCTTCAACTGCTCCTCGGTGTCCACCTGTGAGTCCACCTGGGGCTCCACCTGGGCGCTCACCTGGGCGTCCCCGTGTGAGCGCACCTGGGGATGCACCTGGGGATGCACCTGCAGCGAGGGATCAGCACCTGTGGGGGAGGGAAGAGGGGAGTGGCACACCTGGTGCACCTGCCCAGGCTCACCTGAGCACACCTGAGCACACCTGAGCACACCTGAGCACACCTGTCCATACCTGCACACCTGTGCGGCTCACCTGAGCACACCTGTGCACACCTGAGCACACCTGTCCATACCTGCGCACCTGTCTGCGCTCACCTGCGCAGCGCACACCTGCGTCCTCGCTGTGGTAGCAGTTGTGGAGGCCCCACCCCCTCACCTGCACACACCTGTCCAGTCTCACCTGTCCAGTCTCACCTGTCAATGTCACACCTGTCTGCACTCCTCTCTGCACACCTGGCCACGCCACACCTGCACACACCTGTTGGTGCACACCTGCACACCTGTCCAGCCTCACCTGTCGGAGCTCACCTGCTCAGCGCGCACCTGAGCACACCTGTCCAGCCTCACCTGCACACAGCACACACCTGCCTGTGTCTCACCTGCTCAGGGCACACCTGCACACCTGTGTCTCACCTGCGCAGCACACACCTGCGCACACCTGCCCAGTCCCACCTGCTCAGCGCACACCTGTGCACACCTGTCCATACCCGTGCACCTGTGTGAGCTCACCTGCACA